GAAAGAAGGCGCTGACCAGGGAAGTGGAAACTATCGAACTTAAGTTAATTGAATCTTACAGGAACCAGGAGAGACAGGAGGAGCTTTAAGCTATTAGTGAAATTGAAAGAAATTCAAAATATTTCTTTTCATATACCCAAAACAAGGCAAATACCTCATCTAGTATCGGGCCATTACTCAGACAGGATGGGACTTACAGAGATGACAACAAGGAAATGAGTGAAATATTGAAATCCAGTACGACTCTGTGTTTAGTAAACCCCTAATACTCAGCTGAGGAATCGACGACCCAAATGATTTCTTCATGAACGAGCCTCAAAACTCCATAAATGTATGCCAGATTTCCGACATTACCCTAACTCAGATGATTTCGAAAAAGCATTGACAACATGCCCATGCACTCAGCCCGGGCCCAGACTCGTGGAACTCTGTTTTCATTAAGAACTGCAAGAAACCCGTCTCTTTTGCCCTAAGTACACTATGGAGGGAGCTTGGACATGGTGAAATTCCACAGTCACTTAAAACAACGGATACAGCCCCACTCCATAATGTGACAACAAAGCATAGCTAAGAACTAGAATATAGCTCTGACGTCCCACATCATAAAAATCTTTGAAAGAGTGCTAAGAAGCAGGATTGCAAATCACCTGGATTCCCAAATCTGCACAATCCCGGGCAACATGGGTTCAGGGCAGGTCGCTGCTGCCTCTTTACAACAAACTGGATCACTATGATATGGCCTTGGGTGCACTGGAAGAAAATCAGAATGCAGATGTAATATACACAGACTTTGCAAAAGCAATTGACCAATGCGATCATGGCGTAATAGCCCATAAAATACGCGCTAAAGGAATAACTGAGAAAGTGGGGAGATGGATCTTCAACTTTCTAACAAATCGAACACAAAGAGTAGTGGTCAACAGAGTTAAATCGTAGGCTGCAATAGTGAAGAGCTCTGTTCGACAAGGCACAGTACTCGTCCCCATCTTTTTCCTCATCCTCATATCAGACATAGACAGAGATATACATCACAGCACCGTATCATCCTTTGTGGATGATACTAGGATCTGCATGAGGCTGTCATCTGCTGAGGACGCGGTTAACCTCCAAGAAGATATAAACAAAGTTTTCCAGTGGGCAACGGTAAACAATATGATGTTCAATGAGGACAAATTCCAACTACTCCGTTATGGAAAACTGGAGGAGATAATAAATAGAACAGAGTATACTACAGACTCTGGCCATACAACAGAGCGGAAAAATAATGTAAGGGACCTGGGAGTAGTAATGTCTGAGGATCTCACTTTCAAGGATCACAACAGTGCCACTATCGCACGTGCAAAGAAAATGATGGGATGGATAATTAGAACGTTCCAAACGAGAGATGCCAAGCCAATGATGATCCTTTACAAATCACTTGTTCTCTCTAGGATGGAATACTGCTGTACATTAACATCTACATTCAAAGCAGGTGAAATCGCAGATCTAGAGAGTGTACAGAGATCCTTTACTGCACGTGTAAGTTCTGTCAAGCACATTAACTACTGGGAACGCTTGGAAGCACTTGACTTGTACTCGTTGGAACGCAAGGGAGAGATATATCATAATCTTCTCTTGGAAAATCCTCGAAGGAATGGTCCCAAATCTGCACACAGAAATCACTCCCTACGAAAGTAAAAGACTGGGCATGCGATGCAAAATGCCCCCAATTAAAAGTAGGGGCGCCATTTGTACACTAAGGGAAAACACCATAAGTGTCCGGAGCCCAAGACTGTTCAACAGCCTCCCGTCAAGCATTCGGGGAATTGCCAATAAATCGCTGGACAGATACCTGAAGTCAGTTCCGGATCAGCCGGGCTGTGGCTCGTACGTTGGACTGCGTGCGGCCAGCAGTAACAGCCTAGTTGATCAGGCCCTGATCCATCGGGAGGCCTTGTCATGGACCGGGCAGCGGGGGCGTTGACCCCTGGAATAACCTCAAGGTAACCTCCAGGTATCCAGGTAAGTAAGGCAACAGCGGCACTTCTCCGCTCCATGGGATATTACCCCATTCCAAACTACCGTTCCTCCATTTCCCCCCAAACTACTTCTTAAATCACAACCAAAGCTTCGCCTTGAAGCCAAACATGATGCCTTACGCTATATTGATAACTTAGTCACACAGCACACACTCGCAAATTATTTACGTTGATGGTTCTGTTCACCAATCCACTGGTGCAGCTGGTAGTGCTGCTGTTGTCATACAGAGTGATGGCTCTCTTAAAGAAATTGGAGCACGCATCAATAATTGGGTTTCTACTCTTCAGACAGAACTGTTTGCCATACTCCTTACACTGAAATACATCTATGTATCTAAGATTGACAGTTTAATTGTAACTGATTCTCTGTCATCCATAAATGCTCTCAACTCATTAAGCATAAATTGTGGCAGGCTTGTGTCAGAAGCCAGACACAGGTATGGTAGGATTGTGGACAGTGGAGTCAGAGTGCACATGCTGTGGATTCCATCTCACATTGGTCTTCGGATGCATGATAGAACTGATAAATTGGCTAAGCTGTATGCTTTCAAAGAGGGAGTAGATTACAATTTTGGCTTGTCAGGTAGTAGTTTGAGAACAATAATACGAAAAGAACTTCAACTGAAATTTTTTTGCTTAAGACATAGAGAGATTGACACCAGTCAGTCCATCTATCATCATTCTATCATGCAGTAGGCGCCACATGTCTATGGTGCATCCAACAAAATAAGCAGACTCTTGGATGTCACTACCGCCCGACTCCGGCTGGGTTACAAGTATCTTTGGCAGGTCAAATAAACCACCACCAGATGTAGACCAAACGAAATGTAAACTTTGCCAGATGGACTATTGTCAAACCCTGCGTATTATGTACTGGAGTGCGATAAAATTAATGAATTTAGAGACAATTCACTCAGTATTTTATCCACAGTGGTATATTACAGACCATTCTGGAGAAATACCCTGACTTTGCTAGCTGTAAAAAAAGCATTAAAACCCCATGTGTGCGTGCGTGTGGGGTGTGTGTGTGTGTTGTGTGGGGTGTGTGTGTGTGTGTGTGTTTTGTGTGTGTGTGTGTGTGTGTGTGTGTGTGTGTGTACTCACCTAATTGTACTCACCTAATTGTGGTTGCAGGGGTCGAGACTCAGCTCCTGGCCCCGCCTCTTCACTGATCGCTACTAGGTCCTCTCCCTCTCTGCTTCTTGAGCTTTGTCATACCTCTTCTTAAAACTATGTATGGTTCCTGCCTCCACTACTTCACTTGCTAGGCTGTTCCGCTTCCTGACCACTCTATGACTGAAGAAATACTTCCTAACGTCCCTGTGACTTGTCTGAGTCTTCAGCTTCCAATTGTGACCCCTTGTTTCAGTGTCCCCTCTCTGAAACATCCTGTTCCTGTGCAACTTGTCTATTCTCCGCAGTATCTTGTATGTCGTTATCATGTCTCCCCTGACCCTTCTGTCCTCCAGTGTCGTCAGTCCGATTTCCCTCAACCTTTCCTCGTACGACATTCCCCTGAGCTCTGGGACTAGCCTTGTTGCAAACCTTTGTACTTTCTCTAACTTCTTGACGTGCTTGACCAGTGTGGGTTCCAGACTGGTGCTGCATACTCCAGTATGGCCTAACATACACAGTGTACATGTCTTGAACGATTCCTTATTAAGGTATCGGAACGCTATTCTCAGGTTTGCCAGGCGCCCGTATGCTGCAGCGCTATTTGGGTCGATGTGTGCCTCCGGTGACGTGCTCGGTGGTTATGGTCACCCCAAAATCTTTCTCTCTGAGTGAGGTTTTGTAGTCTTTGTCCACGTAGCCTATACTCTGTTTGCGGTCTTCTTTTTTCCCTCCCAAATCTTCATGACTTTGCATTTGGCAGGGTTGAATTCGAAAGCCGTTTCGGACCCCGGTCCAGCCCTTTGGGGCCCGTTGCCCCCGCATCGATTTTTTACCAATT